TGTTCTAAAAAAGACCTTAACATTTTTTTTAAAATGTTAATTAAAATATTCTGGAAATACAATACTGACTAAGTAACCGATTTAGGGGGAAAGGGGGGGGGGTATTAATGATATCGAATGACAAACATATAAAGTTACGGTGAAGAAAGAATTTTTTTCTCTATAACTATAATTTTAACATATTATAGTAGAGAAAATTCTGTAGTGCATTACATTTTTAATAGATATTTCCTTTAACCACACTATCAATTTAATTCGTTCCAAAGATAATAAATTAACAATATATCCGCAGTACTAAGTATAACTCTCAGAACTAGTTCTACCATATTTTCTGTAGTAATTGAAAAAAAACGTGTTAGAAATAAATATTTTCGTAATTTTGCTGCGTAGTTATTTTACTCGGATAATTATATCACCATTAACGATTTGTCGTCTTTAACAAAACAACAAATTGTTGCAGTGCTTGAAGTATTTGCACATTGCCCTTAGTTAAATTTAATATTTCAGCATCGGTCTACATAGGTACAGAATGTGCTTATAACATTTATTTTCCAAAGTAATTTAATAAATAACCTAACAGCTAAGTTAGAATAATAAATATATATATCGTAGATATTTTTCCCCATTAAATAATGATTCTTCAAACACGATATGTTAGTTATTAAATTTAAAAAACCCTGTAACTCCTTACCTACAAAAAGATAAGTCCTTTCACTTCGGAGTTCCGAATGACACTCAAAACTGAACGATAGGTGAAAACTTTTTGATACGCCAGTTAATTCTTTATTCATATCTGTCACTGTTCATGGGTTATTTTACTCTTCCTCAAAAACAGTTGTCTCTCTTTATTTTCACTTTATATTATTTAGTTGTTAAAGTTTTTTTTTTAAATTTTCTGTTGCTTTTAGTTATTTTTAGCTACATGGTGACTGTATTTTTGGCTGGTCTTTACTTTAAAAAAAGTAAAAAAAAAATATAAAAAAAAAGCCCTGTGTCTTAAATAATCAATCATTTCATTCTGGTTCATCTGTTTCTGACAGTTGAATTATATTAAGGTATCCGACCCATATTAGGACCTAATTTTCCAACCTTAGATATCAAGCGAGTATAAAATGCACTGGTATTATTTCAATGCATTTTAGAGTAGAAAAGAATTTACTACGAGAAATTTTCAAAAATTATATTACCTAAGCAGTAATGAATCGTTGAAGATGGCATTAAAATCTGTGGTAAGGGGTTATTTGTTTTTAATAAAAAAAAAATAAATACTAAGAATATCAATAAATGCTTTGGTGAATAGATGTATTTGATCATTAGGAATATAAAAATGATTGGAAACTATTTTTTTTACCGGATAGATTTTTTATAATTAATATTTTATATGAGTAAAATCAAGCGGGGATAATCCTTGAAGACCAAGATCATATATTAGGACACGTTCTGCTCTTGCATACTGATACTAAAACATGAAAATTATGTCTAAATATATCTACTGAGTATTAAGTCATACATATCTGTTATGCAATCAGTTAATTGAATCTGAGGCTAATATGGGTCGGGAACCTTAATACATGTGTAGAAATACATGTGTCAATGTAATATACAAGGCATCCGGCTTGTAATTTAAAAAAAAAAATCACCCTCCTCAATTTAGGAATAGAAACGTTTATGCATAATAACCATGCAGTGTTAAATTCAAATGAAAGGCAAATAGTTTTTAAACCCCCACCTTTTTGAAGTTTATGTTAATCATACAATTATTTATAGTAAGGTTCTAAAATATTTTAACTTCCTTAGCCACATGATTTTACAACAGAACAAGATTGACTAAAAAAAGTAAAAATATATATCTGTGTCTACTTTAAACAAAAAAAAAAACGGTTTTATATTACCCAATCACACGTGCATGTATGAAACACAAATAGTCTAAACAGATAAAGTTAGAACTGATTGTTTATTCACGTATTAGTTTGAATAATTTTAAATCTTAATTTGAAATGTTTAAAAAAAATATTCACCAGAAAAAGTTTACCTATTTTTGAAAATAATATCTGTTTCAGAGAAGAGTTTTTCTATGTATTTTAGGTTCTCCTAATCAATGACCAGATGAGATGTTGTTATCGTTGAAAAAACAGTTGTCTGACTTTTATTCGTCTGTCATCGTATTTATACTTCTCTTTTATTATTTGTTTTAGTTCAAAAATACTCCTAACATCTTTTGTTTATTTCATCAATGTGTATCAATATGTATTATTATTATTATTTGTATTTTTTTTTTTTTTTTTGCTCTCAAGTAAATTTGATGACAAATGAATAATTTAAAAAAAACCATTAAACTAAGTAATTCTTTTAACAATTTACTCTTCCTAAGGGGCTATAAATCTAGATTTTTTTTAATAACCCCCCCCAAAAAAAAATAATAATAAGGTATTAAATTGCAATTTTGAAAGCCGGAAAAGAATATATTTCTCCATTTGATATTTAGTCAGAAGTATTCTAGCGGAAAAAAGAAAGTGTATACTAAAAAGTGAAATTTAAGAAAAGTATTCTTCGAACTTTCTTTATTCTTAAAGGCATAGTTTGATATAATTAACGCGTGTCTGAGTACTCAATTTGTTTAAACCGAGTTCAATTGGCTTTGATGACCACAACACTCTTTTCTGTAGTTTCGAATCTAAACGACTCGTGATTAGTAATCAATTAAAATGTCTTGCATTCATTTTCAGTATTCAATGTACTCAAATAAAAAAAAACAAAACAAGACGGTATTTAGATTGAAACTTTGATGGAAAGATGCCTCGCATGATTGAAAATGATCGTTTGTGTGCTATTGGGATGCTTCAAGCTGGGATGCCTCGAGGCAATGTAACAAGTCAGTTTGGAGTTTATATCATGTTAATGCTTGATGATGATATCGGCAAATTGACACCATCTTGGACCGCCCACGATCAGGACGACCGCGTATGATGCTACATCGGCAAAATACGTATAAACGGACATGGCATATGCGTTATAGATCTCATTCGGCTTCTTTGACTTCTAGAGGCATCCCTAGGTAGTCCTAGTACCGTAAGGAACGGATTGCAGTCATTCTAGATCTGATCGTTTTTGAGCATGTCATGTGTGGGGATACAATTTGTGGTGTCTCCTTAAGCGCAGGGTGACAATTGTGTTGTCTTCCTTCAAATGATAATGCAGCAGTGAAAGCGGGAGCGCAGGGTCAAAACTGTGTTGACTCCCTTTAAAAAAAAAAGGTCGTAAGCAAGATAACTTGTATTTATAATTGCAGGATTAATAAAAAATAAATTCAAATGGTGACGTCAAAGTTGCCTGTTAACAGATTTTGAAAGTATGGCATTGGAGCAGTAGGTAGAACACAAGAAGTTTGACTAATATCTTCTACTCTATATATCTAAAAAAAAAATTGATTCTCCAGTATAATAATAAAATTGTGGACTGTTTAGAGGGGAAACATTTGTAATATTCAGGTCTGAGAGGGGTTTTCACCCGAGGACACCCTTCTCGAGAATGTTTCACTCATGTGCAGACGCCACCACTTGCTGTGGAGGACTGCAATATTAGACTGTTTAATTTGCTTATTGTTATTATCAATAAATTTAATTTCAGAACTATACTCGCCACTCCGGGTCATTGAGAAGTGAGGGATCTTTCTTGTGCTACCCACTGTACCACAGGAACTCGATCGGTTTATACGGACTCCCCCAAAGGAGTAGTAGTTAATTTCTTTTAAAATAAAACACTTTCACATTTTTTTTTTTTTGGATTATAAAGATTATTATGGCCTATAAATGAATTTGGTATGAAACACGTCACCTAAAATAGGACTCAATAATGGATTATGTTTGGTCACAAGGTCATTATAACTACCATAAATAATAACGAAATGTTGACTTTAAACGAGGTTGTTGAAACCCCTGTAACATCAACTTATTTGGCCCTGTGAATTTCTGAAAATTCAAAACTGTAAAGTTTTTGTCAACAAGGCAATAATAATACTTGAGCACTTGGTGAATGCATATCTACTTAAAATGACGTAATTTTATTTCTTGTCAATGTATTATGACGTCATGATTTGTGTCATCATTCACATATCCTGAATATTTCTTCAAAAATGGCCAAAATATGATGCAATTTTTCAATATTTCTTACACAGCACAACCTCCGATCCAAATGTGTAAATATATTATAAGATAACTGCTAAGGAAGATCATAAAACATTTTAATTTTTGGATCGATGGGTTTGCTCATATTTAATTCTTTGCTGAAGGTTCTCAAAACACCTGTTTTCTGCAAAAAATTCAATAACATTGCAATTTCACACAACCTGTTTTCAATGCCTGGACTCTTCAAAGGCAATTCTGTTGTATAAACTGAAAGCCCTAAGTCTCTACTTTATAATAATGTAAAAAATGGTACACGGGGTATAAGTCAATAAATTTGTATATCTACAGGGCCATTTTATGCATAAAGTAAACCTAGCTCTTTTCGTCCCGTTATATTTTCGCCCTCGTCGGAAGTTGACGAATTTTTAACGGGGCCAATTCAAAGTAAACAGTATTATATATTTAACAAAACTGTTTCTTAGCGAATTTAAAGCTGTTTGCAAATGTGAAGAGGCGAAAATACCACGGGGCAAAAGTAAACATCTATACAGTAATTGACAGTTCAAGCAGTCTCTTCAAATTCATAAGAATAAGGAACTGCAAGTGTGAAATCGAAATCTTGAAACTGATGAAATGAAAAGAAATTTCATATCTGATATAATTTTTATTTCAGATTAAATAAACCTAAATATGCAAGAAAAAAAATAGTCTAATGAAACAAGTAAAAAACATTTTATTCCAGCATACATGTACTTTGCAAGAAGAAAATGCGAATGATTTTGAGAATAATAAACTTTCAATACATATTTATGAAGGTTTATTCTACAGTCGCGTTAAAAAAATATAATTCAATATTCCTCATAAGGAGAGACATCTTCACGGTAACACATTATGAACTGAATCGAAAGACGCTTTGTACAAATATCTCTTCATAGGATTTTGAAAGTTCATTGTGACTACCCTGCTGTACCGAGAACCATCGACAGATCTATAAAAAAAAAACATGGAAAAATATACATTGCTTCCAGGAATATTTTCAATAAAATAAAGGAATACTCCAAAAAAGAAAACTTTTTTCGAATCATGGTTAACAAAAGGCCCTTTTGCCAGAACTCTTATCTGAAAAATATATGCCCGACTGTTCATCATGGAACGATTTAAAAATATATATATATTCAAACTTATTTTATTTGAAAAAATCGAAAATCACTTATTATGGAATTCCTAAACCCATCATATCTAATTTACTTATTTTGATTTACATATGTACATGTGCCTACCTTGTTCTCAGATATATCGTTTCTTTTCCCACAATTATCAAATTAGACGTTACCAATGACCATGTTTGTTTATTGTCTACACTGAATTCTACAGTCATTTCAGGCAGTGCTGTGTTGACTATGATGGCATCGTTCACAATTCTAGGGAAAACAAGAATATAAATTTGCTAGATGAGTTCCTCAAAAATTACAGATTTATAAGGTTTTATTTTACCTTGCTCCGGGAACAGGTATCCTATATTTTATTCCCATTTTCTCCAATCGAAGCAATTCCTTCTGAACTAGGGCTTTGGCAAATGATGACCACTCCTGATCTGTTTTCTTGATCCGCCCCTCTTCATTTTGGATCCCTTCCCAGTGTGGTTGATGCCATGCCCGTTCTGCCGCAGGAAGAAGACGGGGGAATATCATTTCATGCAGTTCCTCTATAGTTCTTATGGTCTCTGTCCACAGCTGGACTTGCATTCCTGTCAGTTTCGAAAATACAATGTTCTGGGATTGCAAATCTTTCAGTAAATATTAAGTAAAAACATTTTAAAATGTTATAATTATAGGAATATCTTTATCTTTTCGACTGAAAGGTAATGTTTTGTAAGAAATCTTAACTTTCTTCACTAAAAGGTATTTTTGTTAGGAATAACACTGGTGTTCATCAAATTAAATGATACATGTACCTTAGGAAATTCTTATCCATTCACAAAGCGTGTAACACATAACACGATGTAATACAATATTTACTTTACCCATAGTTATTTTTTTCTTGATCTAAACAGAGACATCAATATGTTATTTATGACTTGATCCAATTTAATGTACAAGACAGTTGATTTTCAATGAACTGTTCTACGTTTCAAGACTACGTAGCAAGACTCTTTGGAATGATGCATCCCCAATCCATATTCTATAATTGAAAAGAATACTTGAATTCTAGATTTGAAAAAGAGAACATGCAAAACGCACAATAAAATATGTAAACCTGCGAAAAATAAGTTAAATATAGAGCAGAATAGCACACACCAATCCATTGATATACACACCAATAATGTTGTTTGGTTCTTTCAAGTCTGTACACGTTCCATTGCTTGGGCATATTTGATTACGTGTGAGAAGATGTCCATTTCCATCTTTATCCGCATTATAATAGATATTTGAAGGCACAAACCCAAAGACTTTCCGACTGTCTATAAATCGTGATGCCCAAGATGTCCCTCGTTCTTCGGGATCGGGCTCTTGCGTATGGTCAAAATAAAGATGCGTGGCATGCCCGATCACAACCTTCAGTATAAAATATAAAACATACGGTATTAGAATTGGATAACAAACTTATCACTTATTTTAAATATGCATCCTTCCTTCAAATTAAATACCGATAATTCGTTGGACCAGTATATACATGTATTAAGTAATTTGTCTAAAACTTAACATTTTCCTTCCAAAAAAGTTTTAATATGAATGAGGGTGTTGCAGAAACTCGTGATTATTCCCTATATCGAGAAGGACATTTAAATACCCACGACGCATGAAGAGTTATCTCTAAATATAGATAATGCTACGTAGATGAAATTATTTAAACGACGGGTATGTCCAGCATGTTATAACAAAAGATTTAACAGGTCGAGACCACTAGATTTTCTGACGTCAGCATAAATTTGCATGTAAATTAGCTATCTGTATACTTTACCCACTAATGAATGAGTCGCAATGCATTGTGGGCTACTTCAAGTACTCAGTTGTGTTGAAAATAAAGGGCAACTTGAATTGTCCCTTGGAAACTCATTTTCAATTCTTTTTTGAGATTAATGAAAGAAATATTTTAAAATGATGTATAGTCTTTCATTTCCATGCTCACATTTACAAAATTTGCTTTAGGAAGCCTTATATCAACTTATAATTTATACATCGGCCTAAACCATTGTTCAAAGAGACGTAGGTGCTATCGTGTCGATAAAGCATTGAGGGTTTTTTCCCCACATGATATACGTGTACATAGTTTTAGACAGCAGTACAAGGTGTGCAATTATTATTTAACCCCTCAATATTATCAAAAAAGTTTTTATGTACATGCAAACGTCAAAGCGTTTGTACGGTATTTGAAGCAACTATTAATCATCTAAAACAACTCCAATCTTAAATGTGAGCATGGAGCAGTGTCTTTGAAATATAATCTTTCAATTTTGGCCTTATAAAGTGAAAAAGAAGCTCTACGGTTTTTTCGGTGACGAAGTAAATATTATGCAGTAAACCGACGAAAACCACGTGTGGCTATTGAATCGTAAACACGTAGTAGACTGTCATGCTTTGGGACTCATTCAATTGATTGGAGAACGGGTGTGACGAAGACATCGTCACGTGTTAAAAATTGCCTTCCATATAAGGTAGTGTACCCGACCTGTTTAAAGAAAGGCCTTAGAGGTTTTAACTTTCAAGTCAGTAACGTTTATTTCATGCATAGTTTTTTTCCTAACATAGACTGGCGATCTGTTAGAACAATAAAAAGCACAATTAATGGCAAGTGCACCTCGCAAATCATTTTGAATGAAAGATGTACTGTAGACAGCGTGCGTTAATAATTTTCAATATATAAAAATATGTCCAATAATCAGGCTGTTGATGCAATATCCAAGAAATTCCATTGAGTCATTTCAGCTTAGTTGTTTCAAGTCAAATCTGAGCCACTAATTAACAGAACAATAATGAAACGAAATGAGTATGAAAAAAAATTAAATTATTTAAAATAATAGTACTTTATTTTTTAAGACATCGCCACTAAATAATAACATTAAATGTATGTCTTATTTGTTTAGATCACAATATCAAGGAAAACAATTTAATTCTGCATGCATTTAAAATATTATCCATTAACTTTCTGACATTCTCTCCCTCTCTCTCTCAAGAGAGATGTTACACTGTACTTTCATGTATATATACCAGCCATTCCGGAATTCGAACCCATTCTCAGGTAAAAGAATCTTCGCACAGTCCATACGCTTTACTACTAGACCAGCTCGGACATTGAAGATTCACGTGCTATTTTATGTGCACATTTTGCATTTCGGATGGATAATAATTTTTATTCGAATTTTGTGATTTTCAAAAAATGCCTCTTTGAAACAAAAATCGGAAATGGCAGTTTTGAAGAAAAATCCTATCTCCTTATGCGTATATCAAATTCATTCTGTTTCAAGGAGGCAATTTTTCAGAACAATGGGGATTCCCTATTTGAAAAACAGAAATCTTGACTTATTTTGCTATGTGACTAATTTACACTTCATTTAATGGCAAATAGGAAGTTGATATGCAGTTTCTAAATATTGTTCTACATTGTGCTGTACATACCATTGTATCTTAAAAAAGAGGGTGTTGCAGAAACTCGTGATTATTCCCTATATCGAGAAGGACATTTAAATACCCACGACGCCTGAAGAGTAATGTTTAAATATAGAAAAAGCTACGAAGATGACTGTGTTTACGACGGGTATTTCCAGCTTGATATAGCAAAACACTTCACTTTTTACGTTTATTTCATCCATAGTTTTTCCTAACGTAGGAACCGATCGGCGACCTTTTAGTGAACGTTAACCTTTTTATTTCTTATTTTATTCATTTTTTTACATGCATGTGTCACTATCGCCGTTTTGTAAGGTTTGAACAATAAAAAGCACATACAATGGCCAGTGCACCTTGCACAGCATTTTGAAAACGTCCGTGAATATTTTTTTAAATAAAGAAAACTATGTACCATAATCACACTGTTTATGCTACATCCAAGACATTCCATTTGTTTCAAATCAAATCTTGGCCAGTAAATAACAGACCAAAAATGAAGCAAAATGAGTAAATTATGTAAAAAATAAATTATTTAAAGCAATACTTTATTCTCCGAGACATCGCCTCTCAACTAAATAATAGCATTATGTAGTTAGTTTTAGGTCACAGTATAAAGGAAGACAATTTAAATCTGCATGCGTTTAAAATATTACCCATTAACTCTTGACATTCTTTTTCTCACTCTCTCTTTCCCTCGCTCCCTTAAAATATATATTTTATTGCACTTCCATATACGAAAAAAAGTGAAGAAAAAAAATGCAAAAATGACCCATTCCAAGATGCGAACCCATTCTCAGGTAAAAAAAAAATTCGTTCGGAGTCCACCATCATTACCACTAGACCATTTCAGACACTATTCATCCTTGCGTTATTTTAGGTACACATTTTGCATTTCGTATGGATAATAATTTTTATTCAATTTTTGTGTTTTTAAAAAATATGCCTCTTTGAAACAAAAATCAGAAATGGCAGTTTTGAAGAAAATCCCTGCCTCTTTGTGCATATATCAAAATTATTCTGTTTCAAGGAGGCAATTTTTCAGAACAACGGGGATTCCCTATTTAAAATACAGAAAATCTGATATATTTTGCTGTGTGACTAGTTTACACTTCATTTAATGGCAAATTGGAAGTCAATATGCGGCTTTCAAATATTGTTCTACATTGTGCTCTATATACCGTTGTATCTGTAAAAATATAACATCGTTTTCAGTAACTTAAGATTCTTCTTTTAATCTGCTACACATTTAGGGAAAATAACAAAAGAACTGCAACACCCTCTTTAAGACCGTTTTCTGTTACTTAAAATTTTTCTTTTAAACTGCTACAACTTTAGGGAAAATAACAAAAGAACTGCAACACCCTCTTTCATAAAAGATAGTATTTATATCTAGCACTATAAATTTCCTTTAATAAATCATTTTTGTTGCTAAGATGTACAATATAAACCATTTACTTTTTTCCGTTCTTTCTCCAGACTTTCGAACAAAGTAAATACCGCGTAAGTGGAATTTTTAGCGAAAGGTAAATTTAGCGTTTTTTCCTAAAATGTCGGTATCTAATTTTTGAGAGAAGAAATTTTATCGATTTTTGTAATGCCTAAAAAGATAACAGTAGCCTCCAATATGGAACAAATTGTCAGCGATATTCAATTTAAGCGATCTTATCACCCTCCCTAAAAATGCCAAAATTAAACCCTCACTAAAATTTCTGCTCATACGGTTATCAAAATAAACGGATTTATGTAGTGAATACGTTATAAATCAATTCATCACAGCGCACCATGTGGAATGATGCGCGCGCAATATAAGCGCAAGCATTTGCACATTCTATTCTCACACCATTTCCAAATGTTACACGTTTAAGGTTTGCTGTGAATTTAAAAAAAAATATTGCACAATTACATTGTCAAAAGACTGTGGCGTATAAAGATGAGGTTTTACTGATTGTTTACACTAAATGTACCGTTAGTGTACTTCAACATGCTAGAGTTTTTTGGGATGTAAGGAGTGTATGGACGTTAGCCGAGGCTCTTACTTGTAGGAGTATTGTTGCTGTAAATATTGACCAAGATGTCCACAACATTTATAGTCGCCAAAGCCAAACAAGGCATTACAAAATGGAGGGAGAGAATAAGGGCAATACCAGTAATAAGGAGGACATGCATAATACTACACACAACACAATCGGTATGTCATCTTGTATGCCTACATCAATTATTAGCATGATATTTTCACTGTTGTATTAATTACATTTTTAAAATGCACGAGAAAATACTAAATGGACAGTTAATCGATCGTTCTGATAAAATCAGTGGGTAAAGGCAAAAAGAATAAGATAATCATTACAATTGGTCTGTATTGCATTTAGTAGAATCTAAATTTAAGCACACCTCGTTCAATCAAACAGTTTAGAATTATATAAATATAATTATGCACACGATGAGATTGGGTTCTATGAAACTCCCAGTGACTTGAATTACTTTAAGCTCAGACTTTTAAGATCACGCACATGGAGCATTAATGTTATCGATATATGAGGATATAATAATACGACGAATTTGTTTATTCACCAATCAATGAGCTTGGGGGGGGAGGGGGCATGCACAGTTTAAAAACAGTATAGTCACGTTGGTAGCAAGTAATGGATGCAATACGTGCAATATTGACCTGATCCTCACTTGTAATATTTAACTGTCCTCGCTAGCATCCCTCATACAATTGAAAGACTAGTGTTTTGATGTCAACTATCGTTACTTATTGCGTATATATGTGCACATTGTTATACAACATGTGCATTTAAATTTGCTCTCGCTTCGATTAACATTTTCGTGTCCGTCCTCAACAAATAAGCAACCCCGGCTTTGGCAAACACTGTTTGAAACAGAAAACCTTAAATTTCGTTACTCCTAGGCATTTAATTAATAAACCTCGGTCATTCTTAAGCAAA